GTGACCTCGTTAAGCCTCGTTAGCGCTCTCAGACAATCTGGTTTGTTTGCTGGTAATTAGTTTGTTTTGTCTCTTTGTTTGTCTTGTTTTAATCAACAAACATGGCCACCCTCTGGGGACACTCCCTCCCTTCAGTCATTATGGTGGCTGCAGATTCAGTGAAGCAATTGGCTGATTGATCCGTGGACCAAACTTTCTTTCTGAGAGGAAGAGAAACTCCAGAGTAGGACTGGTTGAAGTGGAGTCTCAGAGGGACGGAGTTCTCGGTGAAAGGACAACAGTTGTGATGTGTTGGGTTAGGAGTTCATGTGTGTTCAGCTCAGATAAGACCATGGACCTGAAGCAGGAACTGCTGGGAGGAACTGGACTCATAACTTCACAAATCCTCTGATTCTAACCATATAATTCTGGAAGACCAGATCAAATTAAAACTGGACCTATATTTTTTAAATCTGTGATTGAATCAAATGTAAATGAAATGGTCTTGTCTTATGAAATGACCCCTCTGGGTCGGCAGGGCAGCTGCCACAGGTGGAGGACTTTAAGTATCTTTTTTTTCATTCAGCCTTTATTTCTACAGGTTAATCCCATTGAGCCTTGGGGGCTTGTTTACAAGCGAGACCTGATTTCTTGATAACAATGGACAATCATAAAAGAGGCATACAATTTTTTTTTTTTTTTTTACAAATAAAAATAAAATGGCAACCAAAAGGACAGTCAAAAGTAAAAAGTAGTGAAAAAACAGCTACATTGTAAGGCGGTGTAGAAAACTAAAAACAGGAACATGTTTGCATTGGTTTTTGCCAGGAACTTAGCAGATGATTGAAGCCACTTAGGTCGTTTTCACACCAGATAGTCCGGTAGACTCGTTTCGGTTCGGGACCAATATTCATGACCTTTTGTTACATTTGAGCAGGTGCATTCACACTGCACTGTGCAGTCGAGTCAACCTGTTGAAGCAACCTGTTCCCCCGCTCGCCTGTGGGGGCGCTGCACCAAGAACTACTGAAAGAAACGACACAAAAACCTCTGAAGACACGTCTTCTTCTTCTTCTGTAAATAAAAATAAAAACGAAGTGGCATCAAGTTTTATCAGTTTTAGGAGTTATATTTTGTCATTTTTCAAAAATGGACTTAGCATGAGCAGAAGATGAGACAGAAGACCATGGACAATATTGTTTTTCACACAAGTCAGCTGACGGCTCCATATGAGGTCAGAGAAATGCGTGTTTGTTTGTTCTGCGGAGCGGGGCTCGGTCCGTTTACATTCACACTGTTTTGTCCGCTTTAATCGAACTCTAGCTCGTTTTCCTAGAAAGTCCGGTTTGTTTAGGGAGGTGTGAACGCGCCATCAAACTCTGGCCCGGGCACACACACACATTTGTTTGTTTTTAAAGAAGGCTTGCAATGATGTCCTGATGGTGCGTTCAGTGTCAAAGAGGAAGAGGGAATTCACATCATTTGATCAGAAAAACAGGAAAACCTTTATATCTTTTGGTCAACAACAAATTTTCAACAAGAAACATTTTACTAATCTGTGAAAGGTCTGAAAGTTTGTATGTTCCAGTTAAGGCAAGTCAGGTGACCAAATGGTCTAATCCTCACTGACGAAGTAACAGCAGGGTTTAATTTGTAAACTGATTGAGGCTGGAACAGCGGGCAAGCTGGGGGGGGGGGGGGGGGGGGTGTCCATGTGCCCTCTTATAGAAAATTTTGAATAACAGAGATTCCATTTCCTGCATTTTGGTGTATTTTAACGGGTTGCTATACAAACCGGATTCCAAAAGAGTTGGGACACTAAACAAATTGTGAATAAAAACTGAATGCAATGATGTGGAGATGGCAAATGTCAATATTTTATTTGTAATATAACATAAATGACAGATCAAAAGTTTAATCTGAGTAAATGTAACATTTTAAAGGAAAAATATGTTGATTCAAAATTTCACAGTGTCAACAAATCCCAAAACAGTTGGGACAAGTAGCAATAAGTGGCTGGAAAAAGGAAATTGAGCAAATAACGAACAGCTGGAAGACCAATTAACACTAATTAGGTCAATTGACAACATGATTGGGTATAAAAAGAGCTTCTCAGAGTGTCAGTGTCTCTCAGAAGCCAAGATGGTAAGAGGATCCCCAATTCCACCATTGTTGCGCAGAAAGATAGTGCAGCAATACCAGAATGGTGTTACCCAGCATAAAATAGCAAAGACTTTTAAGTTATCATCATAAACCATGCATAACATCATCAAAAGATTCAGAGAATCTGGAACAATCGCTGTGCGGAAGGGTCAAGGCCGTAAAACTCTACTGGATGCTCGTGATCTCCGGGCCCTTAAACGTCACTGCACCTCAAACAGGAATGCCACTGTCAAGGAAATAACAGAATGGGCTCAGGAATACTTCCAGAAAGCATTGTCAGTGAACACAATCCACCGTGCCATCCGCCGTTGCCAGCTGAAACTCTACAGTGCAAAGAGGAAGCCATTTCTAAGCAAGCTCCACAAGCTCAGACGTTTGCACTGGGCCAGGGGTCATTTAAAATGGAGTGTGGCAAAATGGAAGACTGTTCTGTGGTCAGATGAGTCACGATTTGAAGTTCTTTATGGAACACTGGGACGCCATGTCATCCAGACCAGAGAGGACAAGGATAGCCCAAGTTGTTATCAACGCTCCGTTC